GATTTACAGATTGTGAGCGGAATCAAGTTGAGATTGGCGCGTCTGATTTGCGACTGGGCTGAAAGAAGAGAATGGCGGCTAATAGCTATGGCCAACGGGGTGGTGTTTGTGAGGATTGATTTCGTGGTAACCGCAGCGGCTGTCGGTTGTCTCTGAAGTGGGAACCGGTGGAGTAGACGGCGCAGTAACTCTTTAAGATAGAATGGGCCTATAAAATGTAATACACTTTTGCAATCAAACCCACAAAATGTAAAATATTGTTTATATTAATCAAAATAAAAATATATATTTAATATATTTAAAACTTAAAAAATTTTAGCATGTGATTTTTAAAAAATAATATTAAATATTCTTAAAAATCTAATTTAAAATTTCAAATACATTAAATCAAAATATATAATTATGCACTTTATTTTACATATTTTCTTTTTTTTTTATGTTTTACCAAAATAGTCATTCACCACTTATATTTTCTCCATGATTTTTATATTTTTAAAATACTTTTATAATAAAATAAATAAAATACAGTATATATTTTACTATACTTAAAATTAAAATCTGATTTTAATATTTAAAAATAAAATATTATAACATATAATTTTTAAAAAATAATTTTAATTTTTACTATATATCTATATTTAAGAATTTAAATTTATTGTCTATTAAAATGTATTATATGTATATATTGTATATTCTATATTTTCTCATATTAGATATCAATTTCCTTTATTTCTCCGCACTAAACAATCACTTTCAACTATTAGTATCTGTAATTCGTCGCTAATAATCTTTTCTACGTCACATATGCATATTTTTTTTAATTACATATTTTATAATCTTTAATATATTTTATTATAAAGTAATATGCAATCATAAAAAAAAAGATATAGTATCTAATAAATATATAATTTATATTTTAAAATCTTTATAATTTTAATAAGTGGTCGTAATTTAGATTTATTATACTATTTTGAATAATCATGTCTGTTTATTATAAATATTAATATTATAGTTTGACTTTATTAATAAAATTAATTTATAAAATTATCAATTTCAAACATAGAATATTGATATCAATTTATTATATCTAAATGTAATATTTTTATATTTTAATTATATTATTTTTTGTTTATATATTTTATTAAGAAACATACATAATGTTATTATAGTTGAGGATAATATTTTTTATATTCTAATTATAAATATTATTACTTTTACATTTTATTATCTTTTATTTTTAAAAAAAGCACAATCATCATTAGGATATAAGTATGCATTAATTTTGTCATAGATTGTACCATATTGGATTGAGATCCGACTAAAATCAACTTATTCTTATGTTATAGACAGAAGATCAAACTGTAAGATAATTAAAAATCGTATTGATCCATTTTAAACTTATTATTTAGTATGAGATGCTTTAAATTGAGAATTTTGAATTATTTTTTTATTTTTAAAATATAAATAATTAATTTTCAATTAATAAACTTATAAATCTTAAATATGAACTATATAAATATATGTAAAAGATGAAGAGAGTTGCCATGTCCGATGCCCATGCAATGGGAAGAGGAAGAGAGTTGTTGATTCACCAACTTGCTTCTTGCGTGAAACATGACAAAATGAAAGTTGTTATTCATGTGAAAGTAGCAAAAAATGTATCAGTTTATTTACGATTATATTTCTAAACTTAATATAAAAAAGAAATAAAAAATTTAAATTTACTGTAAAAATTGAACAAGACAAGAAAACTATTGACCTTTAATTAGTACATTATATATATAATATATATACATTTTTATTACTTGATATATCATTGTAGATTAGGATTAGATCCAAAACCAACCAATATCTCAATATATTAAAATAAATAATTAGATAATTCATAATTTGATAGGGTCACCAAAACTTGTATACCTTTACTTGTAGTAATAATATCTTCATCTATTTATAAAAAAAAATTATATGTATATAATATTCTTAACATTAGATAGAGTTTTTCTGGTATTTATCGCAGAAGGAGCAATGATGAATGGGAGTGCCTATGGGATGAGTTGGGGAGGGCTAAAACTAAATGGGGTGAGAGGTAGGTGGTGGGAGGAGATTTTAACATGGTATTACATATGAGAGAGAGGTCAGGATTAAATACTAGAATGGGTGAGATCGAAGAGTTCAAGGAGATGATTGATTTGCTGGGTCTTGTGGATCTCCCTCTTAGGGGTGGGAGGTGGACTTGGTCGAATGGTAAGGAGTGCCCGACATAGTCAAGGATTGACCGTTTCCTTATTTCTAACTGTTTACTTATGCAGCTTGCAAGTTTAAATTAAAAGGTCCTTGATTGCCCCATACTTGATCAGTTCCCGATATGTCTTGCCTCGGAAGGCATTATTTGGGGCCACACACCATTTAGACTGGATAATAAATGGCTACTTGTTAAAGGGTTCAAAGAATTGGTGACCAACTGTTGGCAGAACACGGTTGTTGAGAGCATTAGTAGTTTTATTTTTGCCTCGAAGTTGAAAACACTTAAGTATAAAATAAAAAGGTGGTCAAAGGAGGAGGATGGTAGATTGTTGAGGGCTTCTAAAGAATACCTTTCAGAATTGGGCGACTTAACAATAAGGAGATTGAGAGTAGCTTGGGGGAACAGGGGAATAGAAGAAGGGAGGAGGTAAAGAAGAGGGTGGCTGAGTTGATGAACCTGGAGGCTATATCGTATAAACATAAGGCTAGAGAAAAGTGGCTTAAGGAGGGGGATAGAAACACTAGGTATTTTTACTGTTTTGCAAATTTCCGTAGGAAAAAATAACTATATAGAGGAGTTTTGCTACAATGGGAAGATTTTGAAAGGTAATAAGGGTATGCGGAGGGGGGCTAAAATGTTTTCCTAACACCTCTACAGTGAAGATGAAATCAGTAGGCCCAACCTTAATAATATGCAATTTATGAGACTTAGGGTTGATAGCAAAAATAGCTTGGAGATCCCTTTTTCGGAGGAGGAAGTTAAGGGATGGCTAGATGAGTGTAATGAAGAGAAGGCTCTAGGTTCAAATAGTTTTAAAATGAAATTTTATCAGGTATTTTGAAATGTGATAAAAAAAAAATATGCTTAACGTTTTTAATGAGTTCCATAAAATTGGGTGTTTTGTCGATTATATCAACTCCACCTTCTTAGTTCTTATCTCGAAGGTGGCAGAGGCAAAGGATACAAGAGAGTTTAGGCTGATTAGTTTGGTGGGGAGTTTGTACAAATTGATTTCAAAAATGCTTGCTAGAAGACTATTAAAGGTATTAGGGGAGGTGATTGGTGAAAACCAAAATGCTTTTGTTGAAGGTAGACAAATCCTTGATGCTGTAATGATAGCTAATCAAGTTATGGATGACTTGGTGAGCTGGAAAAAAGAGAGCATTTTGTGTAAAATCGATATAAAAAAGGCTTACGATTATGTGTGTTGGAATTTTGTAGACTACATGATGATGAGGATGAGTTTTGGGGTTAAATGGCGTGGGTAGATCAGAAAATGCATATCTATCTCCTCTTTTGCGGTCTTGGTGAATGAAAATCCATCTACTTTCTTTAATGCTTCTAGAGGTCTCCACCAAAGGGATCCTTTATCACATTTACTTTTCCTCACTGTTATAAAAGCCTTTAGTAGATTGATGAAGATTGTGTGGGAGTTAAACTTATTGAAAGGGGTGGAGGTGGGGAGGGGGAATGAGAGGCCAAGAATTTCTCATATTTTCTTTGCAGATGATGCTCTTATTTTTTGTGAACCTTCTATAAATGCTATGTTACATTTGATGTGCATTCTCCTTTGTTTTCAAATGGTGTCCGACCTTAAAATCAACATGAGGAAGACGGGTGGTTAGAATTGGAGATAGAAGGGATGAAGAGAAATTGACTATGGTACTTGGATTTAAAAATGATACACTCTCTATTAAATACTTGACTTTACCTCTTGGGGGCAAATTCAAAGATGTGAAAATATGAGAGCCTATTGTGGAGTTGTTTGATAAAAGATTGGCGGGGTGGAAGAGAAATTTTCTTTTGAAAGGGGAAAGACTTACTTTGATAAAAAGCACTTTGATTAATTTACCCATTTAGTATTTATCTATTTCAACCATCCCGATCAACATTGCTAATAAGATTAAAAAAAATCCAATGTAGATTTCTTTGAGGTGATGAAGAGGAAAGTAGAAAATTCCATCTAGTTAATTAGGAAGGTGAAGAAATTAGTTTGTGAGGGGAGGATGAATTTGAAGTCCATTAGGGAGTTAAACTGTGCATTTCAAAGGAAATGGTCATGGAGGTCACTTGTTGAAGAGAGAAGGATGTGGAGGGAGCTGGTGAATTGAGAGGAGAGAGGTGAGAGGGGAAGAATCAAATTGCATGGAATGATCATGTGGAAGAAAATCTGTGATGGCAGTGGGTCTTTTATGGATTATGTTAGGTGATAGCTGGAGAATGGGGGTGATATCAGTTTTTGGCATGATGTGTGGGTGGGCTGTTGCAAACTTAAAGATTGTTTTCCCAAAATTTATAAAATTATTTATGATAAAGAGGCCAAGGCGAGGGATAATTGTGTTAAGGTGGGGGAGGCGTTGATTTGGAATGTAAAGACTATTAGAAATTTGCAGGATTGGAAAATTGATGAGTTATGTAATCTCGTACGATGTCTTGACAACAGAAAATTAAATGATTTTAGAGATATGACAGTATGAAAACCTGATGAGAAGAAAAACTTCTCCGTGAGATATAGGATTGAGAGGATCTTAGGATAGTCATAAACCATTTAATTGACTTATAGCTAGTTGGCGTACTTGGGTGATACTCACTTGATATCTTTGTGAATAATATTTTTTCTTTTTTCTTTCAAATCTTTTTTTGTTCTTAACATTAGATAAGATAGAATAAAATACCAACCAATGTGTCAAAGGAAACAAAATCCTGCTTACTATCTACCTTCACTTTTAGCGCCAAAAAATAAAACTGAAAAAAACAAAAAAAGTTCAATGCTAATTTCCCGCCAATTGCCTAGCCCTAGACTCGCCTTCCCTTGTTCATTTCTTCTTCAATTCTAGTCCCGAAATGCCCAGATCCTCAATGGCGGAAGAGGAAAACACCGAACCTGTCCGACCTGGATTCCCGACGCCGAGGGTCAAGAGAATCATGAAACTCGATAAGGACATTAACAAGGTTAACTCGGAGGCTCTATTCCTCACTACGTGCTGCGCAGATCTTTTCCTCCGCTTCCTCGTTGAGAAATCCGCGGAAATCGTCGCCGAGAAGAAGCGAAAGACGTTGAAACTCGAAGATCTGAGGATCGCTGTGAAGAGGCACCGGCCGACGAGCGATTTCCTCCTCGACTCGCTTCCAATTCCTACTGTGTCTATGGATCGGCTAGTGACGGATAGGGCCCAATCTCGGCCCATCGCTGAAAAACCGGTTCCTGCTGGTACTCGCCGCATAGACAGTTTCTTTCGTAAATCTGAAAATGAAGCGCCGACGGAGACCAATGATTCTTAGTTTTTGGTTTTCAAAATTTAGTGAAAAGTGAGCAGATTGCATATGCTTCGGATATGGCCTGTACGGTTTGCAACTAACTGCAGTTGTGTATTATAACTTAAAAAGTTTAATATATATAGGTTTCCCTTGAATTCTTCATTTCATGATAATTCCAATTGTTGATTGATTCCTGGCAAACTTATCTTGGTACGGTGGCAAAATGTGTCGAAGATTCACAGGGAAATAGCCGAATAGGTAAATTTCATTTTGAAGAACTTGAGCCTTCATCCTTTCCAATCTCGTGTTAAGGTTCTTTAATGTCCATCTTATGTGTTTGTTTCTTGATTATCTTGTCTTTCCTATATCTCCCTTGCCTTGTGATCATTGTAGACAGCCATTGAATTGAATTTGATAGATTCTGTTTGGAACTATTTCACGTACTTTCACTTGTAATAGACTGTATATAGCACGCTAATCACTCGGCACTTTTGATAAATTCTCCATTGACTGTTCAAAGATTTGCTTAGTGTTGGTTTTGTATACAAACAAAAACAGTTGGGATGTAGATTGTTATACAGTTAAAATAATCTTGGTTCTTGTCCACAACTAGTATCTTTTTGCAGGATAATTGAGTCTGTAAACTGGGATACTCAATATGTTCGTAAGAACCAACCTAAAATTGAAATATGGAAAAGAAAAAGAAGTTACCTGCATGCGTACTTATTTGCAGATATTTATTGTTCTTGTTTTATCTTTCAAAATTTTCTAGTGAATTTTGAAAATTTACCGAATGTTTATAAAATCATTTTAATACTCTTCCAGTTCACTTGCTACAAACATTTGCACTTTCTCTATAAATGAAGATCATAGTTCTAAATTTTCATCTATAAATTTTGAAATTGGTCTTCTCCCAATAACTGATATGAGCAATCTTATCTCTATATCCATCTGGTATGTCAATAAAGGGGAAAGCGAAGATAATTGGAAGGGACAAATAACAGGGACAGTTACTTTTTCCTTGTCCTGTGAGTGAATTGTTATGGCAGCATCCTTTTCTATGCCTGGAATTTGATTTGCAATTGCATCATCGATAATAGTAGCTTACCAAATAGTGCTTCTCTTACATCTGGGTTCCTTTAATTGCAGAAACATAAATATTTGGCAATTATATAATCAGCCTGCCTATATTTGATTTTTCAGGTCATAAGGAAATTCAAGCTTCTTTACTGTGTATTTCTTATGATATGCCTAACCTTAATTTTGCAGGAGGACTGAATGTTTACAATTGCAAGAGCAAACTCCTGAATGTCAATTTATTTGTATTTGTTATCAAGATTCTGAAGGGGTCTATATAAATGAGGTCAATACAGGAATTAGATACACAACGTATTTACTGAAACTGATGTAAAAATGGATTTATTCTTCTAGAAGATACATCATCCTCAAGCAAAGAAATTTCGAAAACTTCTGGTTCTGATCTTGACAAGTCTTCCACAAGACTCAAGGCGATATGGGGCCAGAAAACACTGAGACCACTGAGGCAGTTTCATCTCTAAGATGAGAAACAAGCTGTAACTGAGCTGGAACTTTTTATCCTTGGACTGCTCTTCCTTTTCTGATGAAGGATATGTCGTGAGTTGTTGAAATTTTGCCATTGGACTCCAACTTTTCGATGCCCAAGGACAGCCTTCTGTTTATAGTGGTTGCATTGCTGAAACCTCCGTTCAAGCTCCTACTTGAAATATGCCGACTACTGGTGGTTGGCCTTGAAATAGAGAAACTATCCTGCTCTGTAATTACTTGGCTTTGAACCTTTTTCTTCTGCTGAGGAAACGCCATCTGATCAGGTATCAGATTACATAAAAGATGCTATTGAATGTGAAATTTTCTTCTCTGTTAACATTCTGATGAGAAAGCTATATACGTGGACTAAAATAGAGACTGATGAATGGCATTCTATTTCGATAGCAGTTTCAAACAATACTAACCCGTTGTCTTAGCTTCTCGTCCTCTTTTTCCTGGCGCAGCATGTTGTACTCCTCCAACATTGCAAGGAGAGGTACCTAGAAAAGCAAAATGTTATTTTTCTTATTATTAGTTTATGGTAACTGTAGATAATGCTCCCGTATTTGCAAAAAACTATTCAGCTACTTGTGCCCAATAAAATAAACATAGTTCTATCTACATCCTTCAGGTAAAAGATTCTCACCTCATCATATAGGAAAACTTTCTTTCTCTCTTCTTCCCAGCTCTTTGTTTTTGCTATAAGTGTTTCAACCACTGCTGCAATGGATCATTGTATGAAAATAGAAACATCATTGGATGGATAAACTAACTGCTTTAACAGAAAGCATCAGTGGTTTTATTTATTTATTTTTATATATAATCATTTTATAGGATTTATCAGTTGTATTAGTGATTTGGGTTTCTTCTACTGAATCGAGCAAATATCTAACACAAGAAATTTCCTATTTTACCTGGGATTTTGTTGACTGTTACCCTGGCCCGTTCTGCACGTCTCAGATTCTTATGAGCACCTCTGCTGACTGAATATCGATTCTCATCCTGAAAAAAAAATCCGTCAAACAGGCATGAGTGGTCTAAAGTGAAAGCTAGTAATGTTTGGACCAATGTTGAGAGTATTAACCATGCTATATTCTTCAAGCCACCGCTCCTCGTCACGTGCTAACATCAATCTTTCTACTTTCTCCATTATTGTTTGCCGACTAGAGGCTTCTTCCTTTGCTCTTGATATCTGTCCATCCATGGTCATGAGGAGATTGGCATGGTCAATCCCCCCTTTTGTCGGTTTTGATCAGATTACGACACTTCAGATTTAAACAACACAAGTCTTTCTATAAAAAAAGCTCAGTATTCACTAAGTCACACCAGATTTTATGAGGTTTATGATGTTTTCCATCTCCGATCTTGAAGGTATATACATGTGTGATTTATTGCATATCTCTTCTAGTTCATTCTGCTTCTTTAGGAAAAGTTCCTTCATCTTGCTTGCTTTCAATTGATCTAGTCTCTTGAATTCAGCATCAGCCTTGCAACAATTTAATTACTGTTTAGTCTAGATGTTTTCTGATATACTGAAGTTAGATTAGATACTATGTATCTTACCTGCTGGATTTTATTTATAGTAAGGCTTCCAGGATAAGAAACTTCTGTTGATGAGATGGATAGTAAATTAGTTACATGGGAAAACGGTTGACGATCTTCGAAGGGTGTGTTCATAAGATTCCACAAGTTCTTTAAGGATTTACCAAGATGGTGAAGCTGCCAAACTTGCAAAATGTAAATTAGAGTTTGTCATGATGATCTTCTACCTAACATGTTAGTGGCACCTTGAATAAATGGAATAAAAGCTCAACAACCGATTTTTCACGTTGATCTTTGTTTTTACTTCCATGAATACATGCCATGAGCACAGTCGACAAACTTGTATGTTTTATTGCAACTGGATTTAAATAAGATGCGGTCAAAAGAAGGCTAAGATCAGGAACATATGGGAAGGAATGGTATTTAGAGTTCACCTTCTCAAGCCGCTGTTGTTTTTCGTCTTCAAGAGATTCCACCGTGCTGTTTAGCTTGGCCAATATACTGTCACTTATGTTTTTGGATATTCCGTACAGTTCATTCAAGCTTGGATGAACCTTAGTTATGATCATAGAGGATTCAATCCCCAGGATTGCAGATAAATCATGGATTGTACTTATGTACTTTTCCACTCTCTGAAGCCTGTCATTCTTTCCATCCATGGAAAGAAAATGGAAGTAGGAGTTCCTTAATTTCTCAGTTTTGATGAATATAATGAAAATGTGCTTGCTACTAACACAAAGAGCAGTGAAATACCTTCTCATTGTGGAGTCTTTGAAGTTCAGTTTTATATTCCTCTAATTTCTTGAGAGAGAGATCATTCTCATTCACTATGATCTTTGTTGATGAATCGTCATATTCTGATTGACCTGCTACTTGTGCAGAAATTTTCTGAATTTGCCCTTGCACAGCTCGAAACTCGTTCACTCTCTCCTCTTTTCTCAACCGCATTTCTTGCAAAGCAGGTGACATTGAATCTAGCTGTTCCTTGAGCGTCCTTCCCGTCTTTTCTGGCTGTACAAACAGTAGTTTATATGACTCAGGCAAGTATAAAGTATCGTGTCATTTACGCATATTCTGTTTTAGACAGACTAAACTCTCACCACAGCATGACTCACAATCTTTATTGTTGCATATGCTGCAAAGATTCTAACAGATCCTTTCATTTAACTTTCTAGAACGTAAGGGGTAGCTTACAATAGACCTTTAGCACAGAATTCAATGATGATAGAAATTGATTTTGAGCTTTTATAATATTAGGTTCATCAGAGAGAACATTGTAAAATTATTATTTGGGTTTTACACGTGTATATGTGTTGTATTTGAAGTGCAGGCTGTAAGAGGCTGCTAGATGTAGAGTTTGATAGATCATGTACCCGGGCAGGAAGTGATGGTTCACCAAGGGATAAAAGAAGATGGGTGAATTCAGCTTCAGATTCTGCCAACTCCTGATGCAGGCGAGCTCTTGACATGTTTGCTCGATCAACTTTTCTCCGGTAAACTTCTAAACACTCCTCCTCCAAATCCAGCAAAGCCTTCTCTCTTTCAAACTCATCTTCTCCGACTTCATCCCATATCATCTGTCTCATTAACATTACATTAGAAAAACAATACACGCAGACATGTTAAACTTCTGAAGTGAAAGAAATTTGCTAATATGCATTGCCTGCAGTTCTTGAAGTAAATATCCACATGAAGTGTCTAAACCATTTGATGTCTGAAATGAACCCATCTAGATCTTCCAACTTAGTGTCTCTTTGTGTGCGTTTGGATATTAGAAGACAATTGTTAGAGAGAGAGAGAGAGAGATAGAGAATGAGAAGTTGTCAGCATTGGGTATCAGTTTTTGCTTCAAAGACAAGAAAGGCTGATAAGAGGTCATCTACTAAACTCCTACAGATGGATAATAGTCATTGAAACGAGTATCTCAGCTACTGTTAGAGAGAGAGAGAGAGAGAGAGAGAGAGAGAGAGAGAGAGAGAGAGAGAGAGAGGTTAGGTATATTGAAACTTTGGGTTCAAGGCTCATCTACTTGTATGGCTAATGGTCCTAACTCGTATAGATGGATACACCAACTGCCTCTTCTCGTATTTGAACTCTATGAAGTACAAAAGAAGATACCTCTCTTTTTATCATTTCTTCACTTCTACTACTTGGGTTAGGCTGCTTTTTTCATGACTTTATTATTTTAGTAGTCTGAAATATAGACTGCAACTGTTGAATTTTTAAACCTTTTATTTATACGAGTTAAAATTCATAAATGGCAGTGACAATATAAATTTTATTTTTATTTTTTTGTTTACCCGGTAAGACAGAGAATATCTTAGAAACATAAAATTTTTATGAAATGTAAATTAAGATTTGAAATTTGAAAAGAAAACAAAAAAATTCTTGTGTAGGTAACTCATTTACTTTTAACTTGTAAATTATAAGAAACGAACATTGGTAAGAACATTTTGACATTTAAATGAAAAACTTTATAATTTTACAAAAAGAATTACATCTCTAATAATTTATAAGTTTGTGAATTAAATTGTAACAAAAGAAAATTTTAAGACAAATAATATATTTTTGTTAAAAAATATTAAATATATATTTTTAATTTTTATTATATTTACAGTAGGATACTGTTATATATATATTTATTAGGTATATATCTTACGTTATGCATGAGTTATAATTTTAAAAATTAATTATGTAAATAAATTGTAGTTAAATAAGAATTAAATTCTATTTTTATAATTGAAAATTTTAAAATTATTAACTATTATATATACTATCAAAATTATTTTTATATCTAAACGTTATAGAGAGTATAATTTATAGTCAATTAAAAATTAAATTTTATTTTATATTTTAGAATAAATATTAGGTATACTATCATATTAATTCTTCTACATTTTAAAATTTGAATAGATAATCTTTAAAATTTTATCTCTATATCATATATACATATATATTTATTGTAAAAATTCAAAATCTTAAAAAAATAAATATATATTGTAATGACAGAAATGATTAAAGGTTTAGAGTTTATATTTCCTACATAATAAATTTAGATACTTAATAGGATTACGGAACTGTCCCTTTAAATAAGTTTTAATAATGGAATAAATAAAAAAATATACTAAAATCTTATAGAGTTAACCTCCGCTGGACAACTTTGATGGAATGTAGGAGACATCTTTTATTTATAAATTTTTACTGTTCAAGATTTGCGTTTTGGTTTTCCTGATTTGAAATAATTAAATAAAAGGAATGAGGTACACTAGGCAGTAAGAATATTACACTTAACACCGATACGAAAAATCAAAAGTTGGTAAAAATTAAAAAACAACCAATGAAGTCATTATCATTTTTTAAATAAATTCATTTAACATAAAAACTGTTATTTTCATATTTATCCTTATGAGTTTCCAAAATCGACCTAATAAAAACAATAACCAAAATAGTATTTTATTACATGTTTAAATGAGCGATAATAGTAAAATTTGCCTTCTTACCTGCTTACTAGTACCTCTGAGGATTCATAGGGATCCTCCATACACATGGATCCAATATCTAACTTATCAATTAATCGACCGTTCTTACATTCCATTTGGTAATAGATACCAAATATACCACCGATTCAATACATTATCCGATATGAGGGTGATCTATACCTCTCAATTCATTTCAGTATGGAACTTCTCAATTCCGTTCGACTGAGATAATATCCACTGTAGAATTTTTCCTATGCACCGGGTCCATACACCCTTCTCTAATATACCCGATGAGCATTTCATACATATATCTACATCATCAACCAATCACCAATTACATACCAACATTTCATATTTACATATTAATAGTAAATTATACAAAAAGATAATACGCAACTCAAGAAAAATATGATTATGACATTTGTTTCGAATCAGTCAGTAAGTGAGAATAATCAGTCAAACAATTAATGAACGAAACAGTAATTTGAATCGCAAGAAAGGATCACGAAGGCCAAAAAAGTGAAAGAAACGAAAAATGAGAAGGGACTTATCGGAGGAGTTTTTAGTTCGTGGCAGCAGCGGCTCGGTTGAGTTCTACTCGCATTTTTTGGTTCACCCTTTGGCGTTTTGGCTCCGATATGGGTGTGGAGAGGTTCGAAACTCAATTTCGAACGAAAGAAAAAAAAATTTACCTTTTCGGCGTCGGTGATGGCTTTAGTACGGCGGCGATGGTGACCGGTCTTCTTATCTGGCGACTGGTTGGATTTCTGGCGCCCATTTTCTTCTTCTTTAATCTTCTCTCTAGCGGCTAGGGTTATGGTTCCCTGTGAAGAAGAGTTTCAATAATCCTCTTCATTAAATTTGGGTCGTCCGTAGGAGAAGATGTGATCCATTTTCAGGCGTTGGATTGCTCTTATTTGGAGAATTAATCTGAATCGCACGATTTGATCAAATTCAGACATTTGATCGCGTCTGAAAAGGAAATTGATCTGGATCGTTCGTACGCACGGAATGCGATATGGGCTGTTGGATCTGCTGGCACACAGATCGCCCGCGGGGACGCGTGTCCACATGTCTGGCACATGGCGCACGGAGACCGGCCGCGTTGCTGACGTGGTGGTCCATGTGGCCAAAATTTTATTAATTTCGTTTTTACTCGAGTTTTTCATATTTTTTTTTAAATAGATCCTCCAATATTTTTATTTTAACTTTAATTTTTAAAAATATTTTTAAATATATATTAAAATTCAATTTTTAAAAAAATAAAATTTAAATTATTTTAATTTATTATTCCACATATATTAAATTATCTCAGACCAAATTTTTACATTCGCGAGTTACATAACTATAATTATTATATTAGTTTTACTTTACATTTTAAAATTTGAGTAGATAATATAAATTTTTTTTATCCTTTATACAATATATTTTTATAACTAATATTAACATATTAGTTTTATAGTTTAGAAATTCTAGAAAATAATATTATATATAATATTAAAATTGTTTTTATAGTTAAAAATTATACAGAGTATGATTTATAGTTAATTAAAAATTAAAGGTAAATTGATTATTACATTTTTTTTTATCTAATAAAAAGACATAATTGCAAACTACTATTGAAAATTCACGAAATGGTGTTTGTTTGTTTTTTCTTTTTTGGGTTTTTAGTGAGGAGAGCTAAAACAAAAATGAAATACGCCGCATGCCACTCTAAGCCTTCACTCGATCTCTAAATGTAAATGAAACGATGGAGTCAATTTTCTTTTCTACTCTTCCAGTTCCATTTCCCTCTCCTTCATCCAAAACATAGCCCCAATATCCTTACAAACCTCTTCTATATATATAACTCTGCCATGGTCCAAAAAAGATCAGCCTCCAGAAGTTGTAAATATGATTAGACAGCAGTTACTGTATCACTTTCAACTAAACACTCCCAACTTGTTTACTTTTCAATGTGTCTAAATTAGTTGGGAGATCAAAAGTTAGATACCAAGAGCGTCCAGAACTAACTCATAGCATATTGATAGAAGAGATGCTCTATTTATTATTATTATTATTATCTTTAGTTTCTGCGCAACTTAATACTGATAAAGAAGCAACAGAAACTGGCTGTTCTACTTTATAATTTATATAGAAAGCAAGAAAAAAAAAAAGTAGAGGACAAACAAAGGGAAGAAGGAAAACATAAAATAGTATTGTAATTTCTTTGTTAGGAGATTGGTTGATGCTGTAGATTGGGACCACTTCTTTGTTAGAGCATTGGTTGATGATCCCATGATCTAGAATATTTTCTTATAATATTGTGTTATGCTCTGTTTGGTTGCTTAGAAAAAGAAGCAAACTGAAAGGAAATTATGATACTGATAGAATCCATCAATATAAGCATGTAAGAGTAATAAAGAGAGAGAAGCCAAACTTGTCTGTCCTATGACCAAATGAACAATGAACCTGGAACAAAAAGACATCTCTCTGCTATGCCCTACAAAATTCAGGCTTTTGTCAATTGTCATGCTTTGCACCGGAAGTCTCTGTCAAAGATCAATTAATCTCCTGTACAAATTAATAAATTTTCTTATTTGTTGCACAACAGATTGTACCAGACAACTCTAACCCTCGAGTGAAATTTTAAATGATTCAATTTTGTTCTAAATTACATTCTGTGTATGTTTAACTAGGATATGATGAAAATTCTATTAGAAAATTATAAAAATTGACTTCATATAGAATCTCACATGAATTGGAACAATGTGTTCTAAATTTCACATCTTCTGGTTCAACTATTTATGGGATTTGTAAACAATTCTATTGATAGATTCTAGATTTGTTCCAAAGATGCCTTCAGTTTCTAGAAAATTGAACCAGTTATTCAGAAGCAGATAAAAATTCTAAAAATGGAATCTCACAAACTCTTTTCATACTTCTCTTTGAGTTCCGCCAATCCCCAGTAATAGCTTGAGAACAATAGAGTTGCAAACTTGCAACGATAGAATCCAGCAAGTGGGAAAGCATAAGAGAAAATGTCCAATCATGATTTTGATAAATATATCAACGGATTGAACAAATCATGGCTCCTGCTGAACTTCTACCTGGCTTTTGCTAACATAGAAGACTATAAGAAGGCATATCTTCAATTCTTAGGACATCATCCATAAGAAGTTCTCTCTCCAGCTGAGTCCGGGTGGATTTCAGGACATCCTACAGAAAAATACTTTACTTAGTCAATACCCTATTTTTGACTCCTGATCAGGTTTGAAATTTCACATTCAAAAAATCAAGAGCTATGTTGAGATCAAGTTTCGTGGAATTGATAAATTTGTTCCTTACATTGAACTCCATATACGTGGCATTTCTCTCTAGCCACTTTTTGTCCATGACCATAAAAGCCATACAATAAAGTAAGTCAAATGCCCATTCATTTTCTGCAAACATAGCCATCAAAAACCATGTCAAGTTGACACAAAGTTGTTAATGGAACATCATGGCAGAACGATTTCCAGGAGACCACAAGTTTCCTATATATAACATTATGATGTAAAATAATTTACTCAAATGCAGTTTCTGGCTCTTAGTTCTTACCTGACAACATCTGCAAGAAAATTGATTTGACAAATGTCCTGGGTTTTGCTGTAAACAAGTTGACATGAATTAGCAATGTTGACAACCAAAATAAAATCACACTGGGTTCATCCAAATGTCTAAGAGCCCTTGTGGCTGTGTCTGTTTACCTTATGAATTATTTCTCTAAATGTCTGAAATTTGAATTGACTTTAATATTTGTCTATCAGGGGAATATAATTTTTACATTCAGGACTTACAGGCATAAAAAGGAGGGGGTCGGGGCCCCTCCACCATAAGGTGGAAGGCCAGGATCTTATCCCCATATCCAAATTAAATCCTGCTAAAGAAACTTACAGGCATCAAGGTCAAGCATTTGCATGATCATGAATGTAATATTTACACCAGCAACTGCGAATGGATACTCCCATGCTGCTCGCTTCCCCCCTTGTTTTTTCAGTAAATGCTGAAATGAAGTCTGGCAAAAGTAGATTGTTATACTCAACCCTCAGTAGCAGGGTTGCGAGGTAAAGCCTAAGCCAGCCAAGGGCTCATAAATTATTTATTTATCTCTTCCAGAAAATGTTGTATTTATTACACATAAATAGCAAGTGACAATTATACCTTGAAGCACCAAAATACCAGGCAAATTAATTTTCACCCAGAGCAAAGCCAAAGGACTCTTCTGGTTGGATTGGCAAACTAAATCTTTGATGTTTAAATTTAATCCCAGATGGGGATCTTACCGGAAATGTTTTAGCAAAGAACAACAGATTCTCCAAAGAAATGAATCCAGCTCCTCTGTCCATGAAGCAAAATTTAGTTCAGTGGACAAAGGTAAAAATATATTCCATAAAATTAAGAAATGAAGAAACCTGAAATCAGTTGATGGATCCCTTCCTTGCCATCCCATTTCCTTCCACTGTTCAGATACTAAACCATGGAGCTCCTGACCTGGATACGTAGCATACCATAGTGCTCTCAATGCTTCCTGCTCTTATGAAAATATTTTATAAATTTTCTAAAATAAATAATTTTACCACAAAATGAATGCACATCTAAACTAAGGGTGACACTTGCATCTCTTTATGGCCTCATGCATATAATTAGGAACTGTAAATGCCAGGCCATCAGATTCAAGCCTTATCCTGAATGAAATTTTTTTTAACTCATGTAATTCAGGAAAAAACATCAATGAACGTGAGACTACACCTGATGGTCTGGTTTGGAAGCATCAAAGTAAACCTTCATTCGGTGCTTCAATCTTTTCAGTCTTTCTTCCTGAAATTTTGAGATAGCCGTATTAATAAACATAACAGTCATGATAGATATAAGAGAACCGGAAACAATAAAAAATAGATCCAAATGCCATATAATCAAACACAAACTTTTATGAACAAGCATTCAATCTCCACTTGTAAATTATACAAGCAACATGACATTTGAGTAAAGTAGCCAACTTTGAGCAAGAGCTTGTTCAGCTTCATATGAAAAATAGATTATCTGCAGCTAAGGAAGGCATTATGTAGCCTGCTGTCAGACAACCAGATACATAACTTATGTAAGAGGTAAAATTCACAAAATCAACCTAGTAAAATATGAAGAAGGAAATACAACATTTTTGGTTTTGGTCATTGAGGAAGTAAATATTGGAATAGAAATAATAGATTGAGCTCTTTTTGGATAATTGGTTGTAGTAAACTATTTCATATGATACGAGTGTAGAAAGTCTAGTGATCAAATTTGGTTACCTATTCTTGTTAAAATTTAATTTTGCACAGAATAATATGCCTATGTGGATCTCATATTCAGCCCGATGTACTTTTGTGTGAGGAAGTATATTAAAATATAAATAATAAACTGAGTCATGTCCTATGAGGTTAAGCTTTTCAGATACAATCTATAATTTCACAGCAAAAATCAAGAAAGGAAAAAAATTGCATGTCTCTTTTCAATATTTGTATCATCAGGAATTAGTTTCCTCACCTGCACTGGTGTCAAGTTAACAGAGAGTCGTTCATAAGCTCCCTTGCGCTTGAAGCAAACACAAGTTAGGCCTTTACCAATCCAATTTGGAGTGGCACAAGCTGACTCATCTGCATAAGACAACCAGAGTTCGTTATTCACAAACTAATCCTGATCACCCACATTATTCCCACCGCTTAAACAAACACTGAGAAAGAATTGATGAAGTGCCAAAGCAAGCAGATCAGCAAATTATAAAGAGAGACAAAAAAAATTTCTTTTTTCCTCGAACTCAACTAAAATTCATAAAAGTAAGCAATGAGATAAAACTAACAAAAATTGACACAACAAGTTTTACGTGTTGGAGGAAACAAAACTCAATTTCTTACATGAAAATATTCTAGTGTTTCTTTAATTATTATTACATAAAAAAAAAAAACACACAAACAGAACTGTTCTAATTCCATAATCATTTTCTTTATTATTCTCCTCATTGGTACTTAACTTGTATACTTTATAACTAACATATATATGTCAAAAAATAAAAATTAGAAAACATTTTCTTGCAGGAATGCCTCAGCTTTTTTGCATTTAAAGAAAATGGCGGGAGCCACCAACGAAGCAATGTTAAAAGCAGATACTGTGAGTATACACATGCGGATAGAGACAATGTATTTACTCATTTTAAAAATTAAAAAAGGACAATTAGAAGAGACATATAATCAGACAGTGCTGTGCGTATAGGCGCATAGCAGTAAACCCAGGCATGCATGTCTCTTTTCGCTTGCTTCTCCGACAAACCATATCTTATTATTGATGCGGTCTAGACACGCACTTAGCTGTGAAAAGCAAGACCCTATTCAAACAACCACATGGTCACTTAATCCATTATGGTCGGCATCTGCATACACGCGCTAACAGAGCGCGTCCCCTTCTTTGTCAAGGCAAATAAAACTATATATAGCATTCAACTCCAACATAAAATTGGATTTGGACGACCTTTTAACTCTAAGATAAAAGATTTTTTATTAATCACTAATATATTTAATAAAATAATTCTAAAAAAAATATATTAAAATTAATTAGTGTAAAAATTTAATAATTTTAAATTGATTTATATAATAAATATCACATTACTCTATCAGCTTATTCTCTTTCTAGGGACACACCATGTCTTCACATGCGTCAAGTAAATAACTCTTATACCGTACAAAATTACGTAAAGATGAAGCTATATATAATATGTCTGTACATATATATATATAAATGATATAATTACACACACACATATGTATATATATATATATCGCTTTCTGTAGTAGATAAGAATGGAGAGAGAGACGAGGCTTTTTAATGGCAGCAAAACACGGGTATTCCTTTTCGTACAAATTTAATTATGCAATTCAGTTCGCGTTAATTATCGAAGACGGGGTGGGGCCCCCACTGGATTGTGACCGGTCATCGTGAACTTAATAAATGTTCGTGCACCTTTGGTTCAGCAACTACCAAACTAAACAACCAGTTCATTCATTAACCCTACGATGTAAAACTGGGACCCACTCACCAGAGATTGACGGACAGTGATTATATACTAACTCGTTGTCTAAAATGTACATTAAAATTCCCCATCTCTTGTCCTGTTATTAATTATTGGGTAATTAGATCGTTATTTTTAACCATTTTAGTATTTAAAATTAACTAAATAATAATAATAATAATACCGTCAGTGTAATTTTTTGTAGTTTAAATATTATTATTTAGTTTTAATTTTTAGGAAATCTAAGTTTTTTAAAATTCAGAATATTAATTTATTCAAACCAATAAGTTGTGACGCTAGTAAAAATAAGCCAGAGATATTAATCTGAAAAATTACGAACTATATAATATAATTATGTTGTAATGTACCCATAATTATGATATATATTTATGAACATTACTATTTCAATTCTTTAATAATAATTCTAAAAGTTGAGTTGGTTTCCAACTTTCAAGCAACCAGCAGAGCAGACTGACCAAACGCACCGGATCTGGTGGTGGATATTTACATAAACATTCATCTTTACATTACATGCAATGAATGTAAAGGATTTGCTTGCCATAGAGAAATTTAATTACTAGCAGAATATAATTTAATTTTAAATACTTTTTATTTTATTTAAAATGTAAGGTAAGTAGGTGAGAAAAAAAAAAAGAAAAATATTTTAAGAAATATTAAAAATTATATTTGATTCAATAATTAATTATTTAAAATAGAAATATAATTATAGATCAAATAATGTTTTATTTTTATACTAAGAAATCGAAAAAAAATTATTATAAAATGCAAATGAAATTGATTAAAATATAAGTATTATGTTCAAATCTAGATATCAAATAAGTGAGATTGGAAAACAGAGAGTTTCTACAATTTTCCCTTAAAAAATGAGGATGAAAATATCAATAAACCAAATGGAATTATATTCTTACAAATAATAATAGAAAGAAAAAATCGCAAGAGTTTAATATCAGTAAAGTAATGAAATAATTCATCGAATGCAGTAATTTTTTTAAAAAAAAAAAATTACAAAAGGAATCAACAAGAGGAAGAAAATGCGGAAAATCAATGGAGGAGGAGCGGGAGCGGATAGGGGAAATCGGTTTGACGCTTGCAGGAAATGAAACAGTGGAAATGGCGATTGAATAGACCGATTGGTGAGCAAAAAATCTTTCATGAAATTGGACCACAACAGACATTGATTTGGATCGACTCGGACGGAAGAAACGAAGCAATGCAAAAGAGAGATTTAGAGAGAGAATACCAGAAGACGAAGCGTGTGCGCAACGGTTGGTGGAAGATGAAGGAGAGAGAGTTGAGATGGCGATGCAGTTCCCTTGAGTCTTAACCACGCTCATCTCCAGCTCCGAGCTGCTTAATCCCAAATTCACCAATTACAGAAAATATTCACATGTGAGAAAGAGAAATAGATACGAGTGTCTCACTAAAACTCAAAACGAATCAAAGAGGAGAGGCAGCGTATGCTGGTGCCGGATTTAGCGAGAGGATATTATACGAATGGAGACCAAATGACTAATTTACCCTTCTTTTCTTTTTCCTTCTCACGCAGAGGGATCAGATGCTTGTTTCTAGCTTAGAATAATAATTTGATGTTTGTCCTATTCGTTTTTTGTTTAATTAGTCTTTATCTTAATTTTTTTTGTCAATTAGTTAAAAAAAATTTATTTAGTCTCTTTCGTTAGTTAATAAAAATTAATACTTTTAATTTAATATATTATGTATTAAATTTATTTACATACATTTTTTTAATTATTTTATATATTAATTAAAATTATATTAAATATCACGTAGTATCTAACGAATCGATAAAATATAAAATCAATATCTAAAAAATAACAAAACCAAGAAAAAATTGTACCTTCACCTTTAAATTAGTCTCAAAACTAAATTTCTAGTTTACATAATGACCAAGAATAGAGCAATTACGCAAAGAGGAAAATGAGTTTTGGGGAAGAGGGAAGAGAATGTTTCCATGCTCGGAAAAACCTAGTTGTTGTGCTTATGGAAGTCATGCGAGGGTTAAGAGGAGGCGATGGTAGCTGCGATGGGGTTCGGGAGGCCACCTCCTCTCCATTCAAGGGCAAAGGCTAGAGCTATGAGAGAAACGAAGGAGGGTGAGTCCAAGAATTGGACATTAAGCCAAGGATTGGATTGAAGAAGAAGAGAGGAAGGGAGCGTGGTGGTGATTGGGCATTCCATAACATAGACCCTATTTTTGAATGTTGAAGGAAAAAGTAAAATGAAAAAATCCGATCCAGTCTAAATTAATATTTTTTTAATATCACACATTTAATATAGTATTAATTTATACGTAGATAAATAAAAAAATATTATGTATTAATATATTTAATGCGTAATATTTAAGTTAATAGATTAAATTTTATTCGTCAATTGAAATTTTATCTGAACTAATTTTGAATAGAAAAAATTAATAAGACTTCAATTTCGATATGGTGGAAGGGTGCTGAAGACTTCAAAAAAAGTGTAGCGGGCGCACGGAAGAAAGAAAAATGATGTGGTCGAGAAGAAATGCAAAAGCTTTTTCTCACGAGCTCAGAAGGAAGAAGATTATTTATAGTTTACGAGTTTTCTCAAAAACAGGTCTTTGGGTGCAAGATTGGCTGGTGGTTTGGTTTGGTTTGGTAAACATGTTCGTAACCCTTGGTGTGATCAGAGCAGATCATGGAAATCTCAATTTAAACTAATTAACAAATTATTTCAAAAGATGGAAAGAAGTTGAGCCGTAGGTTTCCAAAAGGAGGTTTCTGTGCAAGTTTCAGCATAATACCCAACCCAAAAGAATAAATAATTACTATTTAGTTATGCACTAAAGAAAAATTGTACTTGTATTTTGTAAGTTACTTTATAATTTACTACAAATTGTTAAGTCTTTTTGTAATCATAAAAGAGCAGCAATGTGTATATTTATAGAAAGTTAATTATTTCAGTTTGTTAAAAGACTCAAAAACTCTAAAAAGCGAATAAAAGAGAAAAAAGAGAGGACATAAAAAAAGAGACGTCTGGAACAAAAAGATAAGTTTCATAAACCCTAAATTAAAAACCATTATATGATGTTTAGACATAGGAATAAAAAACGAAGAACAAGTGTATACAAGAAAGGAAAGAGTTATTATGACATTAGCATTGTGACAACTTTATTATCTTTTTGTCAATTTTTTGTAACCAACTTATTTTATTTATAATCTACACGACTCTTAACTCTTCATAGCTCGAAAATTGCATGATGTAGGTTAGAGTTAAACAAGTCATAAATTTTTAAAATTGATGACCGTAAAGAATATGAATAACGCAGCTGTAAGATTTCAACTATATTTTTATGACTAAACTTTTAGTTCCGAAACTATTTTTCTTACAAGCACAAGTCATAAGTTTTTCATGATCACTAAAATTTCAAAATAAATTTCAAATTATCCTACTGACTCAAATTCCCACTTACTCCCTCCTCCCTTATGATGCAGCCCAACAGTATATCTATATGCAGTGTCCTGTTGATATAAATATTGCATACGATAGATATTTATTATACTAATGCTGAGTACTTCAAATCTCATCTGCAGCTTTAGGATCGGCCAGTGTGTGCCATGCCATAAACGAATTTAATGGCAAACTTCTCTTTTTGGCAAGTAAGGTTATTTTAGGGAACCAACAATGCCACTTAACCAAAAACGCACTCCACATTTTTTTATCCCAGCCACAACGAGTAAATGAGTTCCTGTACATCCTTCAAGCTCTGGAGATTGATTGTTCCTGCATTATAAAAATGAAGTAATTTAAAACTCTAGTTAACCGACCGTGTTTTGCCTGGTGTTAACTTTTAAACTCATGAAATATAGATTTCAACGAGGTGTTTATTAAACTCAATCATAAAAACAACATATCAGGATTCAGCACTCAGTCTTCCTAACCTCAGTTGTGTGGATTATACAGAAGAGTTGAAAGTGTAAGATTCCATTATGCAAAGCTAGGAAGAAGCTTGCACCCCACATTCCTTCGCTATTATCCGAATTATTTGGATAAAGGAAAAAAGAAGAAGCCTGTATACTGTTGGTTCCAGATCTTACTATTTTGGTCAAAGGTCTGAACTAACTATCTTTCATGAATCTCTTCTCTACATGGGTGGTACTTTCTCTGAGCCTTGGCAATGTCATGTTACTTGAAAAAGGTACAAATATATGTTGGTTCGGTGACTTATTTAATACACCAGTTTCCCGATAAGAGATACAATTAAACAGGAAAACATGCAAACTCCCAGGAAACTAAAAGGAAGTTGCTTGGATGAAAAGATATACAAATACAATATGGAAGTAATTAGAGTAATGATAGACCACCAACCTTAAATACGCCAGTGGTGAAGTTGGAAGAGGCAAGCAAATAAGCTTTATTGAGTATGATAGCCAAGCCAAAGAACTATTTTTTCTGTAATTGATCAGGAGAGCTTTCTTTGCTTTCTTCACTGTTCATTCTAAATTTTCAAGCACAATACACCAAAGCCTACTAATCTTCAAAATAAAGTAATATATATATATATATGATCCAAGATAAGAACTGCTACAAGAAGTCCCTAAAAAAAGTAAAATTTGAGCACATCTCATCATTAACTAGTAAACATATGACAGCAATAAACTTTCTTTATTTCCTCCTCAGAATTTCAAACATATTGCTCTTTTTTTTTTTCTTTTTGCGCACAAAACCAGAATTCCAACCTCCTCTCCCCTCCCTCCCCCCCCCCCTCTCCTCGACAAAAAAGAGAAAAAAATAGTAAAGCTGATAGTGCCAATTGGGTTGCTCTTTCAAATGCTTGAACTCTGTGGGTCTTTGGAAGTACTTCTCTATGAAATAGATAAGCTTGTTGTTGCCTTAGACTGCACATAGGATAGTCACCACCAAAGCTTCAGTCTCCTTCAGAATCTGACTCAAGTCTGCATTTGGGAACCAAATTATTTTCTTGGTCTGCAGGGTTGTATCAAGCTTCTTCAATAGCAACATATCTATCATTGGACTTTGGCTCTTTTCTTTTGCTTTTCCTTTCTCAGTTTCCAAAGATAGAAAGAGAGGGGGGAGTTGTTGGGGTAATCTCTGGAGGGTGTGAGGGATGAGCATAAAGAATTCAGAATGGTGATTTAGCAGGCAGCATTGCGGTGACATTCCCTCGAGATCTGCAGAACAAAGATAAAGGGCAAAAGGACCACAAAACATGCAAGTGGAATATATGTTCCTTCAAATCTGCTCAAAATAGATTTACCAATATAAGAGTCAAAAAGTAAACAGAAAAATTGAAATCTCAGCAATACAATTACGACCGGAGCTGAATGACAAAAAAATCATTGGTTAAATCCCTAAAAATCAAAGATGATGCCTAGAGTTCCTCCCATTGTCCACACACTACTGCTATATTATTTAAAAACCAAAAAAGCCAGGTCCTGCTTGAGAAAGAAGTTCCTTGCCCGCATCCTTGCCCATCAAAATCATATCTTCAAGTGCATATGGACCCTTTCTAGTAGTTTCAAGAACTGATACAAAGTGCACCAAGAACAAGTAGCATAATCAGGAAAAGAATAATAACAACAGCTGCTTTTGCAATGAAACAGTAAGCTATAGGAAAGGCAAATCTTCTCTCGGGGATAATAGACATACCACGTGTACCATCTGGAGAAGCCACCAATCCTTTAAATATGCAATTACCATGCTCGTCCTTGCAAGCATATCCAGCAATAGGTGTACGGCAAGACCCATCCAAGACCTCTAGAAAAGCCCTCTCACATGCAACTGCTAATCTTGTTTCTTCATGATTCAATGAGGCTAAGTATCTTGCCTGTGCAAAGGAAAAATAATAAAGAAAAAAAGATAAGATTCAAGAGAAACCTACCGATATAGACTCTGCAAGACAGTGTGCAAGCGAACCATCACCAAACAACAAAATCAAAAGCATTCTCAAAGTTTAGCACACATGCGACATCAAAGGTTCAGCTGATCAAATTCAGTTTTCAAGTATATTCCTCGTGTACAGTCTATCAAAAGTAGTGGTCTTCACAAAAAGAAGCACATTTTGGAATTTATTGGCAAGAATGTGCTTAGTGAATAATTAAAGATGCATTTTCGTAGTGCTTACATGAATGACCCTGTGCAATTCCATAAACCAGAATATCATTAAAAGAAGTGCCAGCGCGGTAGGACTTGGGAGGCAAGAAGATATGGCTTGAGGCAAGACGATATAGCTTTCCTAAGTCCAGACCACTCCATCAAAATATAATCGAAGGAGAGTCACCCTCAGCCAAACATTTCGAATAAAATATCCAAACAGATTGGTAGGTTATAAAAATCCACTTTCAATAGCAAAAACTGAATCACATATCACAGAATAACATATGTCACAAATCTGTCTCCAGAGGATAAAACTGAATCACATATCACAGAATCTCCAGTCTACAGTGAAGATGAAATAACAACAAACAAAACTACCATCCTCCCACAATCTCAAAATTTGCTGCTGTCGAGCTGCAAATTAACGTTTATAGAGATGAAGCATACTACTATAGGTTCATTGAGTCAACATGCAACAAAAATATGGAGCTTTCTTGGTAAACAATAGTATATTTAACTCTCAATCAAGAAAAAAAAGGTAATTTCATACTTATTTCTCCAAGTTGATATACATCATTAATTAAAATGTTTTAGTTACAGCATTTAATTCATTACAAGTATACATTAATAGCTTCTCTTGAGAAAATTAATTTCTGAAGCATGCATAATCACAAACAAACTAAAAGTAGAAAATAAAACAACACAGGATTTTATGTAATTCGCCAGTGTATCTACATTCACGGGTAAAACCAGTAAGAAAAATATTTCACTATGATCAAAAGAGAATATATCACCAATAGGTTAGTAAACTTATTTATAAAGAGACTAGCAAAATTTTTCACAAACAAAAACTCTTTAAGATATATAATTTTCATGATAAATACAAATAAAACCCATATAAATTATCCATCAGAATATAAATAAATATTACTAAAATTCAAGACACATTAACAAATCTTTCCCTTGACTTGAATTCCCTCTATCATCAAAGCAACTAACCGTTTTGTCGCATCGTCTTGCCAACATGCTTCCACTGGGACGCTATTGAGTATCACATACTTCAGCTAAGTCTAGACCGCACCTAAACTTGCTATATGATCTTTGAACAAAATGATAACTACCATCAAGTTCTTCACACACAACACCAATCATCTTATCTACATCTAAACTCCCCGGTTCTTGCAAATCAACTGACCTAACTAATAAGTTATATGCAACTAGATTCTCATAACTCTGAGGTCATCTAATCTGTTTTCTCTCCCAGTCTGTTGCAATACTATATGGTCGTTGTCGATCAGGTGCATTATCACCTTCTTGATTAAGATCATGCACTTTATTCCCTAAACCATTGGACTAAACTTCTAACTCTGCTTGTTTTCTGACACCGTGATCTGATTCTGCTATGATCTTCCCCTTTTGACTGTCTAGTGAAGCAGACTCATTAAATATCACATCTTTTCTGATAATCAACCCTGAAGACTTAATATCACTACACTACAACTTGTAGTCTTTCATTCCAGATGTATACCCTAGAAATATGCACTTCTTTACCCTCGACTCAATCTTACCATCCCTAACATGAGTATAAGCAGGACAACCAAACACTTTCAACTGAGAGTAATCAATATGTGACCTAGACTATATCTTAAAAGGAGTTTTACTCTCAATAGTTGTGGATGGAGATCTATTAACCAAGAAACTAACAGTATTCACAGTCTCAGCCCAAAATTTATGTCCTACATCTGAATGAGACAACATGTTTCGTGCCCTATCACAAAGCATCATATTTCTGCAATACAATTCTATTATAATGTCCCAAT